CTTGATTATAGTTCTTTTTTAACATGGTTTATTTGTTCAGGCGTATTTATTAAAATTATAGGAATAGAGCGTTCTTAAGGGGTAACACCATAACATTATAATTGTATGAAGTAATACGAGAAACAAATACCAGAAGTATATAAAAAAAAACAATCAAATTGGCTCTAAGCAAAAAATGATTTATGCATTTTTTGTAGATAATTTATATTGTCTCAGGTAATTGTAAGATAAAACTAACCATTTAGCTGAAAATCGCAAAAGGGTCTTTTTTATCTTTGACCTTGTGCCAGTTTTTTAGCTTTTAAAAAGACGAAATAAATCTAAAAAGACCATGTGTAATTGAATTTAACAATACATACACATATGTACATAAAAATATTTGGAATATAAAATATTTTGATTGTATTCCAATTTAGTCATTTATCGTACCTGTGCGACATCTCTTATAATACCACTTTACTTTTACCTGAGAAATAAATCAGATTCTACGATTTTATTTTTATCAATGTTTATAATTGATTTAAATAATTATTTTGCACTATTTTTATAATATTGACTGTATAACTTAAACAGCTTACTATCATATCGGAATAAAATGCCATAATGTTATAATTTTTTATATTCCCAAACACAAGTCAAATATGCTTGCAAGAAACGGAAGATGGTTCTACTAATAGTTTCCTGTTATTTGTCATATATAATTGAAAATTAGAAAATCAGTTAAAGAAATGGATATATGATGGCATAAATATTGAAATTTTATATTGAGTACGTTAAAATAAGTGACAATAATGTCTTTTAAACTTTAAACTTATTCGAATATATAGCGTTCATGAAGATTTAACACAAATTATTATGAAGTATAAAGAAATATTAATTCTATTTTATTACAATAACGTACTAATTTCATTGTCATCCTTAGAAAATATCAAAATATAAAACTTAATGATGTTGTCATCTGCTAAATTATTATCTAGAAATGCATTTATTTAAATTTGGAAGTTTCCTAATTTAGATCAGAGTATGCGAGAAGACACAACTTTTGTTTTCGAATCATGATTTAAAAAATATATTTAGTATTTTTGAATGATTTTTTATTAGTTATATTTTTCTAAGAAATTTTATACTTTTAACAAAATACGTAAGATAATAATAATTATTTAATGAAAGTTTCCAATTTCGCGAGGTAATACAAGCAATATGTGGACTCCTATACTTTTATTAATATTTCTAAGTACTGTGGATTTAGGTGAGTGCTTATTTCTTTAAATTAAATAAAATACGAGCTTTAGCTGTTCAGGGGTAATATTATTAAATGTGTTATAAGTCAATAAAATATTATTTATTTGCCATTATTAAATGGATTTCTGGATTAAATTTTGTTTCGAAATAGTTGTCAAATAATTGAAATTATTGGTGAATTATTCACAAAAATATATCACACCTTGAAGATTTTAAAGCTTCTACAAAAATTTATCACAAAACATTCACACGCACCAGCTGCAAACATTTTTATGAGAAATCCTTATATAATAAATTTCAAAGTATTACGATTGAGCAAATACTGATATAGTTAAATAACAACTGAAATATTGAAAAAGATAAGGATACGATAAATTATATTTGTATTGGTCGGCGAATTTAGTAGTAAAGTAATTCTTGGCAATTTTTGAAAATTATATATATATATATGTGTGTATATATATATATATATATATATATACATATTTAATGTTGTCCAGGTGTGTCTAAGAGCTGCTATCCATTAAAGAATGCTCCCACGCATCAAAAACCTGCATTTTTAAAGGAAAAACCTACGGAGAACTACTGCCAACGACCTGACACTAAAATCCAATCGTTAAATCCTTTCAAGAATCCTATTATAAATAGTTCCGAACAAAAGCCATCTAATAATTTGTCAGTCACCAAAGAGACACTTTCACCTAAATTGCAAGATGTTATTCCAGAAGGTAATATAAATGATTAAATTTCACCTCATTTTTTAATAAATCCTGATTATCAAACACAGATTCAGGTGATGTAATAATAGGCTTGTACAGATATTATTTGTTATATAATTGTTGAAATTGCTTCTATGATTAAAAAATGAAGTTTTATCCAAAAAAAACAATGCTTTCAATTTATTCTGTTTTTATACTTGATGACAACGTATGTATCGTTATATTTTATTTTTTCAGATGTGAAAGAAATCAATGTAGAACAAAGAAAGGAGAATTCTGATCTGTGCAAATCAAAAATGCAAGTTCGTGGATACAAATTAGTAAATATTCAAATGCTAAATGGCTTTCGCAACAATCTCAATGAAATCAATGAATCAGTTATCACCCGAAAATCCAGTATGATTATGTGTGGCTGCGTTATGGCAATAAATATTATGCTTTTGAAAAATAACTACTAGTGACTTTATCAGTAATCGTCAGTAAAATATATTAAAAATTTATTGTAAGATCTTTGTCAAACTAATACATTAAAATTTTTAATGTTATTTTAACTATCTGCATTTTATTGTTTATATATTTATCTGTCTACCTGTCCACTTGTTTACTGTCTACATATCTACATACTATATGTATATTATGGTGGTCCTTAATATAAACATTTTCAAATTTCTTTGCTCCCAAGGGCTCAAATGGTTCCAAATTGATAAACAATTGTCTGAAATGTTCAGCTCCTAATATTAACTTTTAGATAGTGCGCAATTCAATCAAACTTCGCATGGAAATAGCATGAAAAAAATTGAAAAAAAAAATTTATGTAAAGCTTAGCGACAAATGAATTAAAAGTGAAAATTTGTGTCACTTTTTATTAAAAATTCGACGCTCTGCTAAATTTTTGAAATTTTTTTCATGCTATTGCCATACAAAACTTTGATTGAATTGCCCTCTATCGAAAAAACCATATTAAGAGCTAGAACTCTCAGAGAATTGTTTTTTATTAATTTGGAACCATTTGAGCCCTTGGAGAGCAAAGAAATTCGAAAATGTCCATATTAAGGACCATCATTATGTATATATTCCTATTTGTCTACTTGTCTGCTTGTCTTGTTTAACTGTCCACCCCTAAACTTTACCTACCCCTAAATTTCATATGTTTATATTTTTTCATGTATTTCAATTAATAACAAATATTTTTAATGATCATTTTGAATAACAAAATGTTAAGTTTTGATTTTATTCTAAAATCGCGTAATCTGCCTGCCTCTGAATTAATAATATAATATTTATATTATAGTACAATTTATAGCATATTTTTTCCTTGCCAGAAGATTTTTGAGTATTCACTACATATTAATAATTTTGTTAAGTCCAAATAGTTAAATCCAATTTTAGTCAAATATTTTTGTCGAATCAGTAGGTTCCAAATTTACATAAAATGCCTTTTCTCAACTTTTTTTAAAACAGAGCCAAATTAATAAGGAAAATTACATAGTGTGTCGCCATATTAGCTAAATTATACTGATTTTAAATAGAAAAAGATGAAGTATGTTTGTTCGAACAAATTGAGAATTGAGTCAGCGCCCTACATTAATAACATTTGTAGACCAAATTGCTTTGAAAGAATCAAAAATAAGGTTTCCTGAGTTTTACTATTATTAAGGTTTAATAGTAATTGTTACTTGTATACAGATAGATCAATTGGTTTGTTAATTTACCGGTAATTAGTTTGTTTGTAGATTATTTAGCTTAAAATTAGACATAATGTTGATTTGTTTTCAAAAGCCTTGGGAACGGTTGTGACATATTTTGTGGGTACGGTTGTAACAGATCAAGAATTTAAGCAGATCAAAAAATTGACAAAGAAAAGGATATATGATGCACTATATAATTATATACAATAAAATATGACCAAAATACGTGTATACAAAGTCAACAAATAAACTATAAATAAAATATATTTAACTTGACTAAGACAAAATATGAAAGTAAAAGGAAAAAACAATATAAGAAAAAAAAAAGATTTTACAACCAGAAGCATGATTTGATGATTTATTCTGTCTGGTTTGTGGAAGCTTCTACTCTGAAAGTAGGGGTTGCGTAAAATTGATCAAGTGCCAAGAAACATGCAATTTCTGGTTTTGCGTAAAATTGACGGGTAATAGTCACTATTACATTTGTCACCATTGTAACGATGATTCTGACTAGATCTCAGTATATTGATTCATAGTTACTATTAAATTGTTACTGCTTAGTTAACTGATAACTATTAGTTATCATTTTACTGATTTTAAGGAAGACTATTATAATAACACTGGTCGTGATGGTGACTTCATAATTATAAAAAGGAAAGTGATCACATAGTTCAGTATATTTATTGATTACTTTGTTAAAAAAATTGTGTATACATATATTCTTATATTATATCCATAAACTTTGTGATAATTATGTTGTGTTGTTTTACGTTATTCTGGAAATAAAAATCGTTATAAACCACTTTGTTGTTCATACCTATAGTCTTTTAACCTGTCACAACCGTCCTGAGAGTGTCAACAGTTGTTACAAACCCTTTTTTGTCTAATTGAATTTTATGAGTAATTCATCGTATTTAAGGACAGTATTTCAGTATTTCCAAGTAGAAAAATGTTTAAATTAAAATTTAATTTACTTTTCTTTCAGCTAACTGGTACATTATCAGAATTATTGCCGTTAAAAAAGTGGCACAACCGTACCCAGGCTCCCTTATGCACTTTATTAAATACTTCTGAGATTGTATCAATGATCCAAAATTTCCAGAGAAAAATTTGGAGTAATGCTTTTAAGAACTCTATTAATTAAACTGAACAACAGAGATAATAACTAACAAGTGTGACTAATTAATAAAGATAAAGTTTTTTAGGTTTTCAGTAACAATTGATTATTCAAGCATTTTGACTAATAATTCTAAGTATCATAACATGTATTTTTAGTAACTCATTCATATAGGGAAAAACACCAAGTAGGGGACATATAAAACGCAAAGCCGTTATTTCTATCGAACTATTTTAATCAGTTGACTCTTCGAGGTGAGATAAAAGTGCAAAATGATGATATCGATTTTACTATTTACATTTTTGAGTGTATTTCATTTAGGTAAGTTTTATTTAATATGTAGATATAAAAATCTAATTGTAAGAAGTTGACAGTGTAAAGATTTCCATTTTTTTATTCATTTTTGTCACGCAAAATTTGAAAATATTGGCTTATTGTACTTGTAATTTCCTACTTTAAAGGAATATTTTACAGAAAATTTGAAATTATAATTTAAATGAATAGATACCCATTACCATTACATTCATAAAATAACTTTATCCAACTCTGATCTCATTTCTATATAAAGTCTTCATATTATTAAGAATGGATTTAATAGACATATTTGGTGAACCAAAAAAATCCCAATGATCTATTTCAAAATATTTTTTAGTGCAAATATAAATCTATGTTCAAATTGTTTTTTGTTGATCAAAGTAAATATTCAATCATTGATTTATAAACGAAGTAAATTAGGAAATATCTAGTACTTTTCAAACTTTGCAATGTACTGAACTCAAAGTAAAGTAATTTTAGCAATTTTTATACAGCTTAAACAAATATATTTTTATATATGATTTGCTTGTCAATTTTTAGACATTTTTTGAGAGTTCAAAATTTTGAATAATTTTAGAAATATAAAATGTGCATCAATTTGTAACTTATTTAAAATCGTAGATGCAAAAAATAATAGAAATATTTGACAAAATATAGAATAATTCTATAAATTCGTAGGGTATGTAAACTATATTCAAATCACTTATAATATACACATAATAAATTTAATAGTATATTTTAGTTACCGCCAATATTTTTAGAGTTTTGAAATAAACTGAACTTTGGTAAAATTATATATTCTAATAATCAAGAAGTCAATTCTGACCCAATCTTACTTCATCCAATATTAATGTAATAGTAAATAATATAAAAAATAATTCAAATTTTTCACCAAATATAACTTTTTTCAAAAATTTCAAAATTCTCAAAAATCTAAATATTTTCAAAGAAGTTTAAAACTTTTTAAAAAATTATAATTTTTGGTATGGGAAGTTTCATAGTACTAGCTTACTACATGATTACTCTGCAAAATTCATCCATGTTTATTTTTGCATAATCTGGTTTATAGATTTATTTTAACATATTTGTTGATATAGAAATCTTCAAATAGTATAGTGTTAACTTTACATGAGATTTTTGGGATTGGCCATTTGAGAAGATATTTCAATATGACTCAATTTTCAAATATCACACAATATTTGCGCACCTATTGTTGAATATGTTAATAGACACCTATTGTTTGTTCTCGTCATGTGTAAACTGATTCTAAATCTATGAAAACTAATATTTTTCTATATACATCTGCCTTGACATGGTATTATAAAAAAAACCCAGATGAAACCATATTTTAGAATCTAACTGACTCTGAACTGCTCTGATGTTTTTTTCTTTAATTATATTATATTGTAAATAAACCTTTTACTAACCTAATGCAAGCCCTTAACCTAACTCTACATGCTAAAAGTGCTCATTAATATCTAGACCTATTAAAATAGTTCATTAATTTTATTTATTTTTTATTTTTATTCGTTTTTTATATAAAACTAAGTAGTGTCTACAAATAAGCGATTCGAATAAAATTTGTAATATTGCAAAATGCGCATTAATCACTATGAATCTATGCATTATTATATAATGTTGAATCATACACTTATCTTCAGAATTTCATAAACAGTATTTACAATGAATTAGATATGATAAGAGACTTCAATAATGTTACAATCAACTGATTGAAATGTAGTATTTTTGAAACAAGCGATAAAATATTACGCAGTTTTTGCTCTACAACTTACAAAAGATCTATTTTAACTTCCCGAAGGGTAATTTAGACCATATCTAAACCTTGCAAGACATTTTGAAAACTATTGAATGAGCAAAAATTTGAACTTTCGTCGATGTTTTCACAAAAACAATCGAGCGATTAATTAGCAGAAATTGAAAATTTAAAAGGCATTCGAAAGTTATTAGTTGGCAATCAGTTAGTTAAGGGTAATCTATAGCTTCCAAGTAACTTTGAATCGTTGAACTCCAAAACTATTAAACAAGCCAAAATTTGAATTTTTGTCGATGTATTCACAAAAAAACCGGGCCGTTAATTAGCAGAAAGGTGTGAAATTTTTTGTCAACTGCTTTTTATATTTATTCAAAAAAAAAAATTGAGCCGACTTTGAAAATTTAAAAGGCATTCGAAGGTTACTGGTTGGCAATCACACTGATAAGTTTCTGTTAAGGTCGGTCGGGCATTTTTTCGTAAAAAATTTTTGAAATTTTCTTGACGATTTTAATGAGTTTTCGAACAGTGAAGAGTTCATACTTGACTTCAACTTTGTATGGTGACAATATACAAGGTCTACAAGAACATTTTAATATATTGTTATAGACCTACAAGAAGTGGTTTAATTTTAGGAAATAATATTAATAACAATAATCAACGATAACATTATTATGATTTAGTGAAACTGGTTATTACAAAAATATATCGTATATCCAAGCTTATGAAAAAATAAAGATTCTCTAAAATCCTTTCCTCTTTCATTTGATATGTGTCTACCAAAATTTTATATACACATACATATAATATATATGAAACAGTCTTTAATATGGATATTTTAAAAATTTTTTGCTCCCAGAGGCTCAAATGCTTCTAAATTGATAAGAAAAATTCTCTGAAAGCTCTAGCTCCTAATATTAACTAAGATAGCCCGCAATCCAACTAAAGTTTCTTATGAATATAATATGAATAAAATTACATTTGTTTTTTAGAATTTCATAACTTAGCGACAAGTGAATCATTATTAGAGAATAACATTGTATTCACTAATATTTGATATATTTTATATAATATATATTTACGCCAGAAGAATAATCAAGGAACTTTAGTTGAAGTGCAGGCAATCTTAAAATTAATATTAACCTCTAAGTAAATCCCTGTGGGCTGTTCTATAATATCTATTCATCATTGCATCAAGATTAATTATGCAGCAAAATATTTATTCGATTGGTGTTGTTGAGACTCAAATTATTATCTTGATTCCATGATGAATAGACATTATAGAACAGCCCACATGGATTTAATTAGAGGTTAAGTGGTTTATAAATATTCTTATGTATCATAATATTTGAGTGACACACAGATGGCGCATGAATTTACTTAATGACTTATGTTAGTAACAAATCTATGAATCTTTTAGTTATTGTGCGCTCTATCTAAATGTTTATATAAAGAGCTAATACTATTAGAGAATCATTTTTTATTGATTTGGAAGCAGTTGCATCCTTGGGAGCAAAGAAATTCGAAAATATCCTTGTTAAGGACCTGGATATATATATATCCATATATACATATACCTATTATACATTTGATGGTATGATATACCAATGCACTATGTATGTATGTAATGTAATGTAATAAAACAAGATAATCAGAAAAGTCTGCGCTATCGTAAGTGTATTTTTACTCTATCATGGTCGATCGTTTTTATTCTTTGTGTTCTTGAATAAACCGATTAAATGTATTTTTGATATTACGATGTTTCTCACTTTATTTGCTGCTCTAGATGATCAAACTTGATTCTTCTCAATTTTTTCTCATTCCAAAATATGCAAAAAACCTATTGTAATTTTTTTTTCAGGATCATCCCTACAATGTTACCAATGCGACCTGGCAAATAACCCGGCCTGCACGGCGTCTCTAAATTCCACTAAAGACATTGCAGCCGTAGAATGCGGAAAACTTCCTCAACAAGTTAGTGAAAATGATCGCTCCTTAATACGATTTTTGCCACCAAATTTCGATGGACACTTGTCAACCACCAGGGAAGGAGTCGGATTTCAATGCGCAAAAATTGTTGCCACGAATAACATTCGTAAGTAATATTTGTATCACGTGTAGAATAAATTAGTATCGGGTTCAATCCTCTAACCTCAGCCAGCTCGATTTCAAGCAGTATGATAGTGAATTTTAACTTAAGGTTATAAATCTCATCCTAATATAGCTTTTTGTGGATGTTTCATAAAAATGAGACATGACCACTGGGTTGCCCTCATGAAAAAAATAAGTTAAGATGAGCGATAGCAAAACCAGCTCATAGGGGACGTAGCTTTGATCGATGCTATATTTAAAATCGATTTTTTCATATTTGTTTTAATATGAAAATAAATTATTCTTATAATTAATTAGATGTTTTTGATATTAAATGCATTAATATTTATTTTTTGTTCAATTCATCGTATTAAAAGCTGACAGAAAAGGGCTTTTTCGTTTAGCTCGTTTTTTTTTTAAATAAGAGTGAATCTTTGGAATTACACATATTTTACATAAAGCAGGGTTGGGTGCGTCATTCTTGCTTGTTCAAATTAACACATAATAGGAAATTTTAATTTTACCTCATTTGTTGACTCAAAATCTAGACCGATTTTTATTTGTGAGTTTCATTACATTAATAATTATTTAATTCACATTAATATTTTTTTTTATTTTCAGAGGGTGGTTATAATATCACGAGAATTCTTCGAACATGCATTGTCGATACCTTAAATTGCGAGAAAATTAATGAAGACTTAAAACAAGAAGGATTTTCTTCAATGATGTGCGCAACTTGCAACACAAATTTATGCAATAGTTCTACTTCTTTAAGCATCACAATTTTATTACCATTTATATTATTTTTAATCACAAAAGCCACGTCTTAGGGAAATAATTTGAGTTAGATGAAAATTTTTCAAAGTCTTTCAAAAGTTTTCATCAGAATGCTGATTAGTCGATACACTTACAACATGGTATTAAAAATAACTTTATTTAAGTGAATTCAAACACCATTGATTGATTAATTTAAAATTATCACCACTCGATTTAGTAAATCCAAAGTAAAGACCATAACAACTCATACTTTGTGTATTTTTTAAATACCAATATAAAATTTCATGTATTATTTGTTTCAATTTAGCATCAATTAGAATAGAATCAAAATAAATAGTGAATCTCAATGTTTAACAAGTAGATCAATTGTTTTTCGACTTATGCATTGGTAATAAATTCAAGTGATTTACTTTTATGTTTAATTAGTTAATAACAGTATAACAATTTTTACTTCAAGCCAATAAGCCGATGCCAGCCAATGTTACCTACATTTATGTACATTTTATTAATATTGTATAAATAATGTAAATTATAATATCTTTTTAATAAAAATATGCACAAATATAAAAATATGTAAAGGATTATATATGTTTCTTACTAACTAACTATACACGCAAGTTATAGACCTCATACACATGGACTGTTAAAACATGAAAGCCGATAGTGTCGTCACGGTGTGAACGAGCGTTGCCGAGAACAGTCGAAACTCTCGATGACAGTGAAACTTTTAATTGAATGGCGGACTATCTAAAGATTAATATTGAGAGCTGAAACTTTCAGATGGTTTTTCTTTATTAATTTAGAAGCATATTTAAGCCCTTGGGGGCAAAGAAAGTCAAAAATGTCCATATTAAGGACCAACCTTATATATATATATATATATATATATATATATATATATTATACGATTAGTACGATTTGTACTTTGCCACCAAGTTCAGCTATTATCTCATTATTTGGTAAAAGTTTCTTCACAGCAAGCATCCTTTTGAGATCTCAGATCGGTATATGATCGCAGGGAAACGGATCCAGAGAATATGGTAAAAGGGAAAGCAATTCGGAGCCCAATTCATATTTTTCTTCTTTTTATTTTTTAAGACCAAAATTTAAAGTTGGCCATTCAATAGTTTTCAAGACATGCGAGGTTGATGGGTGCCTGGCTCGCAATACTGGTATTGAAACCGTTTTCAAAAATGCATAATTCGATTTTGATAAAACTTGATATATATTGTTACTACACTTTACTGAATATTTGACAAAAATTTAAAGTTGAAACATTCAATAGGTTTTCAGATATGCGAGGTTAATAGGTCGCATAATAGTCTAAAGTTTAAATCATTTCTAAATATGCCGTGAACCCCCATTTTTATTTCGTGGACCCTCAAATTTTGTTTTCCCTGTCGTGGATTCCTTGAAAGTTGCCAGATCACTGATCTAAATGTTAATATTAATAGCTAAAATTTTAGAGAATTTTTATCAATTTGGAAGCATTTGAGCTTCTGGGAGCAAGAAAATTCGAAAATGTTCATATTAAGGACCACCCTGATTTATATATATATATATATATATATATATATTTATATGTGTGTGTGTGTGTGTTTGAGTAGCGACAAACAAAAAAATACATTTCTTTAATTTTTCGTAAATTTCTTTAATTTTACTATTGCTGTTTTTCTCAATTACTAAAACTAATCGAAGATTTCAGAGTCCTAGACAATATTTGAATATAATATTATTCATATAATATTAGAATATAATATTATTCAAAACCTTTGCCACCTGAGGAGGGACATGCTAACTAATTTTTAGGACATATAGATAGAAATATAGTACATTGTCCTTCAGAAAATAAAATATATTTCAAGATCTCAATTTAGATCAAAGCATGTGACAAATATATTTTGTTTTAAAATCACGGAAAATTTTAATTCTAGAATATGATTTTCTATCGATTCAATTTTAACAAGAAAATTTAATATTTTAACTTTAAATTCTAACAATATTGATGCCTCACCAAAGGTCATAATATTTTCAATTTCGTGGGGTTATTAAGCTGTAATATGTGGACACCGATGCTTTTATTAATTTTTTTAAGTATTTTGGATTTAGGTAAGTGCAATAAATTGTAATATATTAATTAATTAATATATGGATATATACATAAAACAATTTACAACAATAAAATTTGTCTAAGTTTTTTCTCCTTTGTTTGATGTTTTCTTCCAAGATTTTAAATATAATCCAAAATCAATAAAAAAATATATATCTAAAATATTGTTGTTCTGGAATAGACTGTATTTTAATTTTGCATTATATTATAATATTTCGCGACTGTATTTATTCAAATTGTATCGCCACAGCCTCAAAATTGTTTTTTTTTACATCAAAAAATGCAATTAACTGATACTAATATGTTATTCTAGGGACATCCCTAAAATGTTATTCATGCGATCTAAATACCAACCGCGCCTGCACGGCAAAATTAACTTCCAAGAAGGACATTCCGATTTTGGATTGCGACTTACTTTCGCAACGATCCTATGAAAATAATAGTTCCTTAAAGGCATTTTTACCACCAAATTTTTATTCAAACTTGACGCTCAGGAGCACCAACCTACAATTTCAATGTTCAAAATTGATTTTGACCAGTACAAACCGTAAGTAATTATAAATGCAATTATATTATATATAGCTACTAACAAACCCGACGAACTCCGTTTCGCCACCAGATGGTTTCGTGAGAAAGATGAAGAAATTTTTTGTTTCTTTTATATTTGAAAAGGAAAAATTTGATTTTGAAAAATGAAGTGTTTTTTAGTTGAACTTCTCTAAGTAAATGAAAGTGAATCCGCAAATTATCCGTTTCATTGAAGTGCTCTTTGGTAAACCACATTTTTTGTTTTTTGGTCTGACGTTAACACAAACAAAGCGGACGGTTTTCCAACTTGTGAACAGGCAACGTATAACTCGCCATGTGAAAAACAATGATTTTCTAAATAATCTATTAGAAATTTATCCCGCAAACACTAAGCGATTGACCTTGCGACTTGTTATTGCGAACGCAAGGCGAACTGGAAATTGCAATCGTTTGAAGTCAAACGGAATACCAGTCAGAATCATTGGTATGTCACCAAATCGCCAGCAATTTTTGACTATTTCATGATATACAGGGTGTTTCAGACAACGCCAATTCGAAACAGGGTGATAGTATTGACCATAACCGTCCTGAAAAAAAATAACCGTCCTTAGAAAAAAAATCTCTTGTTCTTTGGAAATTATGAGCTTTTAAGTGCATGCTAGAGCTTTGGTGTAACTGACATGGACATTTTTCAGTTATTGTGGTTAACTTTTATTGAATTTGTTCATTCATATACTAACGTGTATGGCATCGTATCTTAAAGCAAATTACTGAAACTTTCCGTACCGTAATAAAACATTCAAGAAATACTGATTTTTTTCAAATAGATTATTATCAATACTTTAGCACTTATTTTTCGTATTTTATAGACAAAATATGAGTTTATGAATTGGACTATGACGTTTATATATCTTTACATGAAAAGTAAATGATCAAAACTTAATCAATCAGATTTTAACTGATGGACATTGTCTAATATTTATAAGAATGATATAATCTGAATTGCAAATTTAATATTATTTATTTAAATTATATAAGCGAGCTTTAAAACTTTTGTTGGAATTAAAATTAAAAATTCAATATGTTTTCGATACACAGAAAATAATTTTTTTGAAAATTAAAAAAAAATTGAAATGAAAATAAATTTTGGCCAAAATTAATCGTTTCATTAAACACAAAAGGAAAGTTTTTCTTAATTATTCAAATCGAATGCTCAGTTCTCTCACAAACTGCCATTTTTTGCACGTTTAGCCCGTTTCTACAAAACGGCTGGACCTGCCTTGGCCAAAAACTAATCACCACTTCTTCTCTTCATTACATAAATTTAATGTTTCGTTATCTCAAAAACTTGATTTCTATTTTCTGCACTCTTTGCTCCGTATCTCCGAAACAACTGGACCTATTTTCGCCAAAAACTAATCCGCACATCTCCCTAATAATAGGAATCGAATGTTTTTTGAATTATTCGAATTCGATGCTCCGGAAATCGTGGATGAAAATTTGCGGACACACAAATATACACACATCCACCTTTTCTAAGGTATGCCAAAATGTTAAAAAATCTTCAAAACGTGAAGACATGCAAAAGGTTCGAATTTCAATTTTTGGACGATTACGATACAAGAAGTTAGAAAACGTTAACGTACAGTAAATTACCAGTAATTGAAACCCAAATATCTGGAAAGTTTTGAGTAAAAGGCAATATTTAGATCTATTTTCAAATTAATTCGAGGTATATTTAGAAAAAAATCTATATATTTGTGGAAACACTTAGGATTTGAGATGGGCTTATCATATCCGATGCCGGATCGGTTAGGATTTTACTCCGCTTCAGAGAGGAGTTATATCCACCTAACAACTCCACAAATCCGGCAACTTTGAAGCAAAATACTTTACACAAATGTATTCTCTAGTGTGTTGTTAACATATCTAAGGATTCATTAAGACTTTGGAAATAGTTTACAAATTTTATGTATTTCAATATGCATACAAATCTCAAATTGACAAAAAACTTGGGAATCAAAATCAATTTTGTAATTAGTTTTGAAGAGAAAATATAGAATTCTTTGAATATATTTATTTTTATATGAAAATAATGCAGTGAACCTTATACATGAAATAAGAACAAATCTTTGTGTATAATATTTTTCACAAAATAATAATACATGGCATTCTTTTATTATTTCCTTTTCGAGAATTAATTATACATCAGGTAGTTTGATTAGCATACTATTACTTTTACACAATTATAAAATCATAATTGTGTAAAAATTACAATATAATACTACATATTTTTTAACTGGTTGTATACCATTGAATGAGCTTATTTACGGACAAACATTATCGTATGCAGAATATAGAATATAAAATAGCATTATTTTGAGACATTATATACCTGCAAAGACCTAAAACTGGCTGTGAGACGAGAAAAAGACCACTACTTTCGACCCAAATCTTTGTATTAGTAAAAAATCTCAAGCAAATATCTGAACATGTTACCAGATTTAGTACTAGTTTAGAGAAGTCGGATATGACAAATCCTGTGAGACAACTCCACTCGGATTCACTCCGAGGGAGGAGTTGTATCGGAGTGATAACTCCGGAGTGAGTTATCCATCTCTACTTAGGATTAATATTTTTACTAGAAAATGATTACCGGCAGTAATATGAACGAATTTTCAATTCAACATACAACAAGCTTATATTATACTCTCAAAGCATATAATGGATTAATACTTTCCGAATAATCGAATTAAATAACTAAATAATCAATATTTTTAAGACTGTAATTAGGCGATATGTTCTAAATAATGTATTAAGACTACGGTACTTTGGTGTTAAAAAAATTCCTAATAATTTCTAAGAAAAACTAATTTTGCTACAAGCATTTTGAAAAATAATATACGATGTAAGTAATAGACTATGTGAACAA